TGTCCAGGAAGGAGGCTTTGAAGATTTAATTTGGTTTGGATTTAGTATTTGCAATGGGGATTTAGATTTCTTTTCTACTTTTTTTTTTTTTTTCTTTTTTTCTGTAGCAGTGCCTGCTTTTTCCTGAAAGTTTGTTGGTGGTCATAACAACATGGACTTCTACCTTTCTCAAACCTTAATAAGCAGTAGGGTGTGTCAAAGATGGAAAATCTCCATCTTCCCAGAGTCTGTTCCCTAGCCAGAGGAACCACATTTTGTCCGCACTGCCACAGAGCTGGATGAAGATGCGATGACCCCCACCCAGCCCCACGTAGTCACCACTCCTCCTCCTCCCTGGCCTCCCAACGCTGCTCCATGCGTGACCGCCGCGTTCCTGTTAGGCAGACGGCTTGGCCAACAAGTCAGAAGCCGCTGCAACACCTGGTGGAAAAAGGACGGGGTGCGGTGCTGGGATGAGTAACTGTGGGAATATTAGCCCTACCCTCCGTGCTGTGCAAACAACGCGGCCGTGCTGCCGGTGATGTGGCTTAGAGCTGGCAGGCGCAGGGCACGGAGCACGCTCCTGTCTGCAGAAGAGCATGTAGACACAGTCTCAGTTGTTTAGCTCTGTGTTAGCGGCAAAAAACAAATCCTAAGCGGCCTAAACAAATCTCGTCGTGGCCAAAGTGCTTCATAAATTACTAATTCAGCCTCCTGCAGACTGATAGGGAATCAAGGTGTTCACCTCAGAGCACGACACATTTTTCTTTTTCGCCTTCTCCCTGTGGCACCTGTAGATGTGCAAAGCTTTGTGTCAGTGACTAATGAGTACCTAACAGTTGCTGCAGATTTCCATAGGCTGCATGTTATCACTCTTATTTACGACATCAGGAAAAGGCATAAGAACTACCCACCTGGGCCAGAAAGGGTCAGCAGATAAAAAATGTTCTTTCAGACCATCAAGCCTGGCACATTTCAAGTGCCACTGGGAACACGAGGAGGTTTTGCTTCTCAGCTTTTGCATTTCCACTTCCATTTCTGACCATATATAAAAGCGACACTCCTGCCCAGGTGGGGTAACGAAGGAAACTGTTCCTTCTGAAAGCCACTGATGTACAGGAAACCAAATGGGTACTCCAGGCAGTCCTTTGTGATGAGCACAGCTGGGAAAGGACTGTTTGAAACCAGGCTGGAGTTTGGGATATTTTAAAACAGAAAAAAAAAATAAAAAAAAAATGCCTAACTCATAGTGATAATATGTTTGTGGGAACCATTTTCCTGCAGCCTGTATTGTTGCCCTGTGTTGTGTTAGGCTGTGGGAGGGAATGGAAAAATAAAAGGAGTAGAGTGAAATCTTCCTAGGGCTTCCCAGCTCTTGGGCTGGCTGATGACTGACAGCTCAGGAACACGTGTTCCCGGATATTCCTGACTAATCCAGGCAGGGCAGGGCAGAATAGGACCATCCACGCTGTGAGTTGCTCAGAAATAGGTGCTGCACTTTGACTGCAGACTCAGTTTAAAGGCGTGCGCTCAGGAGGGCAACACAGCCAAGCTGCTCCAGCATTGCACAAACGGGGACCGAGCCGTCCAGCTCCTTGTGATCCCACAGAAACTCCAGGCATGAAAGCTGTGCCACAAGCTCTCGGGTTACCGACCTCACGTCACCGGCCGCAAACCAGCCGGGTGATCATTCCCTCCTGGCATCTTACACCTACCAGCGGGTTAACCTTTAGAGACTTAGTTTAGTGCTCGCTGCAGTCCCTGGGAGCTCCTCGGAGAAGGCAGTGCCAGTGGGGCAGGCATCACGTAGTCAAAGGGGATTTTACCTACACTTAAAAAAAAAAAAAGCGGCTTATCAGATGTCTCTGTGAATGCAGCTTCACGTCAGCAAAGAGGAGAGTGATTCCTCACTGGCACTGCTAAGGAAATGGTTATCCCAAGGCATCAGGTGCCTTCACTGCTTGTATTTAAAAGGGTTTGCCAATTGGGTGCATTTCTGCTATTATGAAACTTGTACTACCATGAAATAACTACTGTTTCTGTTCTGCTGGGTCTCCTTGACCAAGAAGAGGCTTTAATAACAGTAAAATACCAGATGCTGCCTTCATGTTGTGAGGCAAGTCACTCCGTTCCCTTCCTGTTCCTTTCAGACATATATAAAGGACAGCTAAAAATTTGATTCTTGTATGGACTAATATTTTCTGTGTTTTTAACCATGAAGACACTGGTGCTGACAACTATACTTCTTCCTGTTGAGGTTATATTTAAAGCATTTCTAAGAGTCATCTTTGCTGCGGGGCGGTATTAGATAATACTTAGTAAAATATTTTTTCTGTAAATGGGTAGTGAACTATTGGAATTAAACTTAACAAGCAAACATAAATAAAAAAAAAGTCCTTTATAGCTGGAGGACCAGAAATTCCTCCTGGCTGTTCAGTTTGTAGTTGTATTATGTATTGATGCAGTTGTTTCGTTAAGTTCTCCAGTTAAACTAGATAATACTGAACTCTTAGCATATGAGAAAATTGTTTTGTGTTACGGATATTTCAAGCTTCTTTTGTAAATGTTAAAGAAATAGAACATCGGTCCAGCTGTTTTATCTTAACTCATATTTACCATATGTGGATATTGACCTCCACTTGATACCATCTGAGGGTTGTATCTGGCATCTTGAACTCCTGGAGGAGCCGATCCTTAAAAACTCCACCCAGCCACTGCAGGAAAATACCCTGAGCCTCTGCTCCAAAGGCTGAATACGATAGCGAGAAGAATCTGAATGACCCTACTTCAGATTTGAAACGTGGCCCTCTTTTTCTCTCATATCTCTGGAACGGTTAGACCAGAGCAAGTAGAGTCAACAACAGTGAAACAAGGGGTGTTCCTAAAGGGGCAACCACCTGAAGGCAACTCCTAAGAGACTCCGGGTGATGGTTAGCTGGCAGAGCCTGTGCTGGGCAGGTGACTGTGAGCCTAAAGGATGGTTCTTGCCGTGTTGATTTACTTGCTATGACGAAGGCGTTAGTGCAATCCAAAGTCTTTCATCCATGGGGCTCGCTTCTGTACCCTGGACTGCACTGTGAAAGATGAAAGCCAATACATGTTTATTACCAAATTTTTATCTTACTGCTTCTACAGCAGTGTTTTAGGTCCTGCTGGGTTCTCGGGTTTTTCTTGTACCAAGAGGGAGTTTTTCCACTATGCTGCATTACAGATTTGTTAGGCTACTTTTTCATACACTGTTAAAATATTGTTAGGTAAAGTAAAACAAAATCCCGGAAAAACCACCCACTTGGGCTTCAATACTGATAAAAAAAAGAGTATTTTATACCTGTATAGCATCTTCCATAGGATAGAATCCAGGCCCACTGTCCATGCGATACTAATGTAACCTCCTGAAATGATTGTAAACGAATGGATATTATATTTGGTTAACAGATCCATATAAATAGATATTATATTTGGTTAACAAAAAAGCCCCAAACCTTCCCAGTTTGGGACTTGCTAGATTTGGGAGTAAAATCTGTGTTTCCCCAGTTGTACTGCAATGTCTGCTATTTCTTTCCAAAGGAAGCAAACAGCAAACTTCTCAAAACGATCTCACCGCTGACATAAGTAGGAGTTGTACTTCATTGCCTGATGCAAAGGATTTTCCTGTGTTATCCTCAAGGCATTTTATAGGTCTGGGTAAAGTCAGCCTGCCCTCCGTCCCACATGGGCTCACATGCAGAGAGTCCGACTGAGGAGGTACTTACTGGGACATATGTCTGTCCACGGAAAGTCTTCCATTTTGCCCGGTTGGTTTACTTCCCATCAGATCGTTGGGAGGCACATCGTCCAGTCGTCGTCTGTACAGGCGTTTAGTTGTCGTCTCTTCTGACTGAGCTTCAGCTGCTGTGATGCCGAACCGAGAGACACGAGCACCTCAATAACACGGTTCAATAATCCTCTAAATGAGTTAGGTCCAGGTTGTCGTCAGATGCCATGTAAAAGAAGATATATAATGACACATGTGAATATTGTGGCGTTCACATTTTCCATATTCAAGCTCATTTTTATCTCACGATACAACGAGAGTTCTGAAAACCTTCGTATAAGCCGGGCTTTAACCAGATGTTAATTTCAGAAGCTTGATGGGACCTTTCTGGTTTTGAAAGCCAGCCCTATATCGGAACTATAATGAAACTCTGCAACGCACACATCCTATTTTAAGAAAAATGACGTTTGTCAGCCTACCCACCAAGGTGAAATCGTGGCCAGTCCAGCAGAGCAGAGATGCGCGTCTGATAGTCTCTGCCCATCCACGGCGGACAGGGACCAGCGAGCAACACTGGGAATACGCTGCTGAGGCTGGGGGTTGGGGTTGTTTAGCCTGGCAGAAACCCTCTCAGCACAGCCCCTGTCACGGCTGCTCACCCCCAGGACCCCTCCGAATTCCTAGTGCCGGGAGCCGATCCTGCAGTTCCCCCAACCTTCGATGGAGCCTGCAGAGCAAGGGAGCTCCTTCCTCCGACGGCCTTTCTGCAAGCCTGCACAACCACGGCAGCGTCTCTCTCCCGGCTGTTTATTTTTCCAAAATGCATCTGTGCCAACCTGACTGGGTTTCTTTTCCAGCCGGATAGGGAGAAGTGGCTTTTCCTACTGCAGTGTATTCACTTCCCTAGAGTAGGGAACCGTGACATTTACGTACCTTTGCCCAATCAACATTGCTATATTTCTGAACAGGAATATCAGTAAATCCTGAAGGAAGACAAAAAAAAAAAAAGTATCACACTCTTGTATTAGCCATTCCAAGTTCTTTCTCTTCATTAGAATTTTTATCCGCCATCTCCGCCTTCACTGAATTTGGTGGTCACTACCCCAGAGAACACACATCTCAACTTTGCAGCTCTCCTTAATTAGCAGGTAGCAAAGCAATGCATAATTAGTAGTAAGCGTGGACTGTTTTCAGCCAAATGGTGCACCGGGGGAGGGTGCAGAGAGCTCACGTGGAGCGGATGTCACGCCAGCCGCTCCGTGCCGGCATGACGGCCATGCAGGCTCTTTTCCCGGGAGAGCTCATCGGGTACAGGTTACCCAACACCTCGGCGGAGAAGCACAAGAATGACGCAAGCGCATCGTTTTGAGAGCCACCCTCTGATTTCATGGGGTTGATTTGGCGTGGAGGTATCTGGTGTGCAAGCTGCAGACGAGAATCTTTATGAACAACCACAGGCTTTCTATCAGCCATCACTTCCCTCATCCCAGCAGCCGGTTTCTTTAAGGTCAAGACCCAAGACTGGCTGCTGTGCACGCGCCCTGCCTCCGGTGAAAGGGACGGGCAGCGGCTGGGAAAGCGGGCCGAAACCAAAAACTGAAAGCACAGTGTGACATCGAATGCCAGAACACCATCAGCGAAGCTTCCGGGGCTTCCTTATCAAGACCGACAGCTTTGCGTGAACGCTGCCAGTCCCCCCGAGACCGCCTCCCCGCTGCCGCACACAGCCAAAGCCAGCACCCAAAGGGTTAATTCTGCTCAGGGTAGGGGGGAAGTATCACTCATTGGAAGAATCGGTCACTAGACACCAGGTAGTTTCCAGGGCTGGTAATTAAACCAATTTGGACATCCAAAGGGCAGTTCCCTTGGCAAGGTGCAGCCGCTCCTGGCAGAGAGAGCTCCCAGCTCTCCTGCATCCCGCCGTTGCCATGGCAGCACGGAGGAGGTGCACCTTAGTGCTTATTAGGCTCCAAGAAGCATTTCCCACGTGAATCGGGCTGCGCAATCACTGTTAAACCGTCGCGGCATGAAAATTAGCAATGGCCACAATTACATGGAACTCGAAAAGCTGGAAGAGCGCTTGTCGTCTTTGCGCGTTGGCTGGCCCTGTCCAAGGCTTTATCTCTTGACTTCCAAAACTCTCCAATAAGCAGTGTCTGCTACGTGGGGACATCGGGTAAACAGACATCCTTTGACTGCCTTTGACAAAGGAGCCCTCCCTTTCTTTCCCTCCTGTTACAGTAATTCCTTTCATATTTACCCCACACACAGTGTTTACTCTGCAGTCAGAAAGGAAATTCGTCTGCTGTGCCTGTGCTAGCGACCCCCCGGAACTGCCAACAGCAAACAAACTCCAACGTGACCTCCTGGGTCTGTAAAGCCTGTTGCCCTGGATCACGCTCTGCTGGTTTAGTTTTTTAGGATTCCACAGATGCCAAAAGTAATCTTAGTTTACATTAAAGGCAGGCAGGTCAAAGACACTCCACTGAAGCCAAGAGCATGCCTTGCATGAGTAGGGCCTACTCACAGGAAAAGGATTACTGGTAGAAATAGGGATTAAAAGACCGAGGCCATCGGATCATGAGTCTCCTTTTTTGCTGTGTCAGGCCCTGAATATGTAAACTGGTCACAGGAGCTGAAAGACTCCCATGATGACGTTGCTTGGAGATCACAGCCACACCTACATTCCCCCAAGGTTAGGCCTGGGACTTTTGAAGTTTTGGAGGACACCCAAGCCTAATTACAGCAAGGAGTGAGCGCTGCCAAAAGCACGGGAGCTGCTGGAAATCTCTTCATACTCTAATATTGCTGGCTGGCACGTGGCTCTGCTAAAGCACAGGAGGGGCACAACCCTTGACAAGGTCAGTAACGGGTTTAGGGGGACCCGATGTGTCGATCCGAGACATTCGCTGCAGAGGGGGAACCTTGGCTACAGCCCGGGGTGCTGCCCGGCCTCCGGCTCAGCTGTGGCACAGGGAAGAGGGGCTTTGCCCAGGCTGTGGCCTCGGAGGTCGGAGAGTGTGCGACAGAGCGGCTCTGGTCTCCCTCCTACTTTCAGCTGAAAGAAAGTCTACCTTTGACAACGCATCCACCACCAGTGGTCTTCTGCAATGGTTCCAGCTCTGTCACAGGCTCTGTAGCGGCGAACATCACAGCACTGGTGTCTTTGCGGGAGAGCGGCTAGCTCTGGCTAGGACCTCCCTGCACATGTCACCTTGGGACGAGTTTCTCCCTGACCACAGGCAATGCACACCTCCTAGGGATGGTGACTACCAGCCCGGTGAAAGCCACTGTGCTGGCCAGAGCTGCAGTCTTTGTGGGGTGGGTAGGAGCCAGGAGAACGGCGACGCAGGGACAAAGCAGGGTGACTTTTCCTAGCAGACTTCAGTACCAGCAGCATTTCAAACCCCCACGTATCTGCAAGCCGATATTTCAATGCCTTCAGGTTGCTATGGACAACGAAAGATTTCAAAACTGTCTTCCAGAGCAGAGCCCTGTCTCGCTATACACAGTAATGACACTTGGCATTTTTATTGCCAAGAGCTCCGTGTCAGAGCGTGAGAAGCACTGTCATCACTTTGCAGCTGAAGATACTGAAGGTACAATTGGTTTTAAATGAAAGCAATGCCACAGGTAAACCCCACCTGTTTAAACGCTCTAGTACCTGAAATCACCTCCCCAGACATTTCACAGAATCATGGAATGGTCGGGGTTGGAAGGGACCTCTGTGGGTCCTCTGGTCCAACCCCCTGCCCAAGCAGGGTCACCCAGAGCAGGCTGCACAGGACTTTGTCCAGGCGGGGCTGGAATATCTCCAGAGAAGGAGACTCCACAGCCTCCCTGGGCAGCCTGGGCCAGGGCTCCGTCACCCTCAGAGGGAAGAAGT